AGCAGCGGCAACAGAGCACTGAGCTAAAGCGTTTGGCCCCGAGGAATGCAGGCCGAGGAATTCAGTCGCGATCGCGCTGCGTGCAGCAAGTGCTTCAGAGGCAGAGGCTCCCAAAGGTCTAGAGTCTAGAGTCCGTGTTGCGATGCTGCGATACTCCAACAGTTCTTTTGCCTCGTGCCCGAAGCCATGCGTAGCTAGGAGCCAGATCGCATTTAAAAAAATTTTGAGCCCCCGGCGACAAATGTTGCAGGGGCTGTGCAATGTATGGCGACTTTCCCTCAGACGGTCGGGTGTGAAATCATCGAAGCCGTCGGAGAGGTGCGAGAGGTGCCAGCTGGGCCTTCAGAGCGGTACCCGAAGGTTTCTATCAGGTTCCAGTCTCCGGACGCCCTGATGCGCTGCTGCGCTTTACCATGCAAGATTCCAGCCAATGTGACCTGTGCAGGGCTCATCGAAGTTCCTGTACTGGACTCTTTCAGCCAATGTGACTAATGTGACCTATCTCAGCCTATGACGACAGCCGAGTCTACGAACAATGTCCTGAGTTGCATAGTCTCTTGCAAGGTTCCAAGTCACCCAAACCCTATGCTGCGAAGCTTTGCGTGACTCCGTGCCAGGGCCGCATGCGCAGCAGTGCGAAGCGTTTTGCGCTCGGCCAGCCCCCGACACCCCCTGGGGTAGAAGTAGTAGCAGGCCAATCGTCCCAGCCATGGTGTGCCGAATTTTGGCATTCGCAGCTTGCCGGCATGTGGGGTTGCGGTTTGGCTTCTACAGACGTGGCCCGTGGAAAAGTCTGTTGAAGACGAAAGCCCTGAACCCTCAACATCAAAAGCAGTACCCTTGTAGATGCCCCTGATATGGAACTCTTGTAGAGCCCCTTGTAGCACTCAAGCCTAAACCCACGAGTGGTCAGGCAGCACGTGTTGAGGATGCAGGGCTTTAAGGTTCCTCGGGGAATTCTGGTTACTTCGCTTCGAATCCGGTTGGAAGGGCCGAATGGTCACTAGGTAGGCCAGTGGGGCCCCACTGTGTCCTCCTCTTGGCCTTTTTTGGAGGACCTTGTTTGATCAGATTGTTCAGAGGCATGGGGAGCTGGGACTCATGCTTGGGGCGCAAAGCCATGGGAATCGAGTCGAGACAGCAATGTGTTTCAGATCGCCGCTGTGTGAGCCGGCACTTATTCCTGGGCGTGCTAATTGCTTTTGGACGACAAAAACAATAGGCGCATCAACCACCCTATCAAGAAACCCTAAAGCGCCCGGTGCCCGCCCAATGCTCCCAAGCCCTCTCTTTGGAAGGATTGGGGTGAGCCCTATTATAATGCCTAAAACCCAACACCCGCGGTTTCCCCTAGACCCTAAACCCTTCTATTAGAAGCTCTCTCTCGTCTGAAGCTGTACGGGGTGTCAGGTCCTCTTGTCTGCAGCGCGGGCGCAGATGTGTGAGGATGGCCAGACATGCCAAGTGCATGGGAATCTCGGCGAAGAGGGGTCGCTCCTTCAGGCGCGGATCAGCGAGGGGTCGGAAATGGACACCGGGATGGAGAACAGCGAGGACTCGGAGGAACCGCGGAGGAACGGATCCATGGCAAGCTACGTGGAAAAGGTGTTGGGCAAGGTGACGGCTCTCGGTGGCAGCCACCAGAAGAACGTGGAGCTAGCTAAGGATGAGGTCCGCAACCTCGCCGTTCAAGTGGCGGCAGATCCCTACACCGTCTTCAACGTGAGCCAGTCCAACATGAACGACGCCTTTGAGAGGATCATCGCTGAGATGGAAGATATCATCAACGACACCTTGGTGTCTTTGGACAAGGACCACAAGGAGTTCGACATCATGATCAATAATATCCTCCAGTGCGGTGTGAATCTCAAGGCCAGCAATGTGAGCGTGACGGAAATGAGCCCTGCCGTGTTGCTGCTCGGCGTCGAACATGATGTGTGCCGAAACGACACCGTTGACTTGCGGGACAAAAACCACACCGCCCAGACGAACTACTACAACTACATGGCGAACCCCAACATGCCCGACTGCGCGCAGAATTTCGGGCCAGGGACGTGCCCAGCGCAGCAGGACTTCTCAGTGCCGTTGTACTTCGACAATGCCATTACATGTGCCAGCGAGGCGGAGAAATGGGCTGGGGCTTTCCACAAACAGGCGGTTAGCTTGAAAACTGCGCATGAGATTGCGGAGAAGGCTGTGAAGGACAAGTATGAGGCGTGCGACACGACACAGCTGACCTATGAGCAGGCCTTCTGCACTTATCGTACCGAGCTCATCGACCAATGCTCTGCGCTGGATAACTGCTACTCCAGCGCCGTGAGTGTGTTTAAGGCGACGAAGGATCTTATCCTCAAGTCCAACTCGAGCCGCCACGTGGCCTACATCGCTGCCAGGCAAGTGCAATGCTACATCCGTGTGCTGCAGTCGGACAACCTCACAATGGCCGCAATCGAGGCCTGTGATCACACGAAGGTCGACACGTCCCCCCTGGCGCTGACCGTGCCTACTATTCCCCCCAAGCCCGCCTGCGACGTCTCCCTTGCGGCGGAGCACCCGTGTGGCGCAGCGTGGGTCACCAAGAACTACGAGGACAGCACCAAGTACTGGGTCAAGGAGCAGATTGCCCACAAGAACTGTGCCGGGCTCGGTGAAGTATGGGGATTCACAGTTTACGTGGTCGTTGCGCAAGTTTAGATTCCCTCTACGACTCTACGAGCATGTAATTCCTGAGACCACCAAGAAGCGAATGGTGCCGAAACCTGGTGAACGACACATGCGTCAGCCTCGAAAGAACTGCTGAAGGCTTTTACAAGCCCTTTGAAAGCCCTTTCAAAGCCGAACCCAAACCCAAACCCGGACCCCCTAAAGCCGGAGAAGTATCCCAAACCACAATCCAAAAGCAAACCCAAAATCCCAGAAGCCCCAAACCATCCCAAACTCCAAACAGCCCCAAACCCCAAAAGTCACTGCAGGTATGCCATGCCTGACCGAGTCCCTGAACCTCGGGCAGACGTTGAAAAACGACACTTGTTGACCAATATTGCAACCTTTAACAACTTTGTTGGGTTGCTATGTTTTTTCGAGCCTTCTCTAGGTTTACAAACGTGTAGTTCGCCAAGTAAAACTGGACGAATGAGGCCGACATTCAAGGCGTTCAGGATATCTTGGAGATAGCTGCCAGGATCTGGATAAAGTATACGCTTTTGCTTTCTTGGGTTTCTCGAGTCGCGTGTCTTCTTGGTCTTTCTGGGCCAACGGGCTTCTGGAGTAGTATGCTGTCGACTTGTTCCATTTCTGCTGATCTGGGAGCCGGTAAGACCTTGCTCTTCTGAGGCGAAGCCCCAAGCAATAAGCTTCATAAACCCCTAAAGCCCTTAAGAACCCCTATAAGGGCCCTCAAGAGCCCAGGTTGGGGCGTCGTCTCGTGAGGGCCTTACAGGTGTGGTGTGTCTTCCATGCGAGAAGAGGTGTTTGGTGATGTGCGAAAGAAGACCTGTAAGGTGCATCCAGCAGCGGCAACAGAGCACTGAGCTAAAGCGTTTGGCCCCGAGGAATGCAGGCCAAGGAATTCAGTCGCGATCGCGCTGCGTGCAGCAAGTGCTTCAGAGGCGGAGGCTCTCAAAGGTCCAGAGTCCAGAGTTCGTGTTGTGCTGCTCTAACAGTTCTTGTGCCTCGTGCCCGAAGCCATGCGTAGCTAGGAGACAGATCGCATTTTTAGAAAAATTTTGAGCCCTCGGCGAGAAACTTCGCCTGGGCTGTGCAATGTATGGCGACTTTCCCTCAGACGGTCGGGTGTGAAATCATCGAAGCCGTCGGAGAGGTGCCAGCTGGGCCGTCAGAGCGGTGCCCGGAGGTTTGGATGATGTTCCAGTCTCCGGATGCCTGCGGGCTTGGCGATGCCAATGTGACCTGTGCAGGGTCTCATCGCAGTTCCTGTACTCGGATCTTTCAGCCAATGTGTTGACTCTTACAGCCAATGTGCCAAATCTCAGCCAATGACGACAGGCGAGTCTATGAACAATGTCCTTAGCTGCAAAGTCTCTTGCAAAGGTCCCAGGTCACTTAAACCCTAAACCCTAAAACCATAAATCCCAAACCCTAAACCCCCCTAAACCCTAAACCTTAAATTGGAGGCATTTGTGCCTCAAGCCCGATGCAACGGGGTAGGATCCCTCCCACCGTGGTGTGCCGACTGCAATGGAAGCTTGGCGGCCTTCCGGCGGTTCTTTGGGTTTGGGGTTTGGGGTTTGGGGGTTTGGGGGTTTGGGGGTTTAGGGTTTAGGGTTTAGGGTTTATGGTAGTCTGATTGGGAAGGTTCCACATAAGGGTTCCTGAAATTAGGGCTCCATACCGCATGGACCATACGGGTTGGTTGGGCCAGTTCGCATCCCAGAGAGGTGAAAAAGGTCGCTGCTGTGGTCAGCACCACCGCTTCCAGGCCAGGGGTGCTATGTAAATTCTGTATGTATGTGGAGTCCAGCAAGAGTCGGATTCGGGGATGGTTGCTTCAGGGCTTCGGAGCAGGGATGGGGGGGGGGTTTCGCATCGTTGCTTGTGCAAATGAAGGGAAGGCACATCGCGTCCCATCTTTCTCTCTCGGAAGTTCGCCAATCGCCTCTTCTTGAAGGATCTGAACATCTGAACACCGTGTTGATGCTTCAATCAGAAGTGGGCCGTTTTCACCCTCAACACCGACATAGGCACATCAAAGCATGTCTAGCCACCGAGGTAAGCCAAATATAGTCGAGCTCTGCTATGTGCTGCAGGCGGCAGAGCTTGGGTGCCAGAATTGCCAGAAGGATTCCGGATTGCCGTCATGAGTGGCACAGGAAAGAACTAGCAGCATGCTGAACACTATCGTGCATTATGCTTGGTTTTTTAAAGCTAGTTTTTGTTGATGACTAGTTGAGGTAGAGTGCTGTTGCGGTATCCTCTTCACGCATGCGGCTGTACGGTTGCACTGTCGTGGCAAGTTCGTTCTGCCAGGCTTTGTCTCTCAGATGGTCGTGGAAAGTTTTGCGCCGGTTCTGGTGGATGTGCTGCCAACTACGACCACGACAGGAACAAGCTCAAGTGCCTCGTCCTGCCCTGGCAGCAAACACACACAGACAGAGATCACTCTGTATTTGGAAACATATGCAACCTCGACACCTCAAGCGCGACATCCTTAGTAGAGGGCACACAGTCCAGTGGTGCCAGGAATTAGGATAACCTGGGAAGAATACTTGCAAATGCTTTAAATGCTTGCACGCCGGCCCGAACCGTGGCACATGCAGGGGTTCTTGTGGCCACTCGATGCGTTGCCATGGGTTGGGATCCCAGGGTCCCAGCAGATGCCTCGCATGTCTTGGGCCACGGGAAGAGAAGGGGGGGGGAACGTTTGGGAAAAAGGGAGACCAGATCCTGGCTTGTTCCAGACGCCTGTCCGCCCTACGCCGAAGCGAATTACTCACGAGACGATGAGACGGCAGCCAATGACTCATGAAGCGGCAGCCGTGATGTTTGTGTCACAAACAGGGACCAGCGGGGGTCGCACATTCGCACATTGCGTAAACCCAAGACATTGCATGAACTGATACGGGCGCCTGTGCCCTAGGTAGTAGTGGCATGGAGGTGTTGCATAAAACTTGGAACCTTCCATCAGCCTGAACCGCCAGAAGCCCATGTTCCCTAAGATGTAGAGTGATGACAGTGTTGCAATATCATGGATGTTCCCTCCCACCCCGCCAAGACCGAACAGGGCAATGGGCCGTCGTCAATGAGCCAATAAGCACAATAACAGAACTGCATTCTGCATTTCAGGACAGGGTTCTGGGCTCATTTGTTTGAAGCAGGGGTGCATGTAGGCATCTTCCCTGGGTTGGTGCATGTTCTTCCTCTACGAATCCTATCCAAGGACCCCACTACTTCTTGAGAAAGCATTAGCAAAGGTTCGACGGCCAGCTCCATTCCCAGCAGCTCGACCACGGTGACTTTGCTGCACCAGCTAGGGGAAGTCGGCAGCCTTAGGCCCGAAAGAGTCTTAGTGAAATCATTGCAGTCATTGCGTTGGCCAAGCCTACAAGATCGAGATTCCAACCCTTGCATAGGAAGCCTTCATGTGGCAATATGCGGCAGCACGACGACCCCCACCTGAACTTGGCCAAGTAGGGACCGTTTTGGAAAAACCGCAAGACCCCGCGCAATCATACTGAGGTCTACGAGCGCGTCATCTACGAGCTCTCTAACACGAGCTCTCTGACGACAAGCGCGTCGCTTACGAGCAAAACATCGACGAGCGCAACCAACATCACGAACACCACCAGCACAGCTGCCTGGCTGCATCTTCTCCGACATCTAGGACCCTTGGTGATTTCAAGGAGCGACAATGCGTCACAAAAGCCTAGCCGGGGATCTTCTTCATTGGGTTCTTAAAGACTTTGGGGCTTCAAAAATTTAGACCACGACGATGCGTCCCTAAGACCAGGATCCCAAGAAAGATCAGGATTGTTGAAAGCTCCCGCCAGCAGTGTACCACTGCACCTCTCCCATTCTGCGTGCCAAGACCACTAGCAGCTCTTCAACAACTTTCACAGCGCCGCAAGCTCAGCCACATCAGCACAACAGCCACGAGAAGCTTGGACGCCGTGTGGTTCTGACGCTGCTAAATGTGTTGCATGCGCTAATGCTGTTCTTTTTGGCAACTGTGGAGTCACGCCCTGTTCTTTTCTGGAACATGCGAGGAGCTACAAGCACTAGCTCTGAGACCAGCGCAAGCTCCTCCAGCACTTCTTCGTCACTTCCACCAGCACAAGTTTCTCAAGCCATCGACATTTTTGGGGTACTGTGTTGAAAGGGCATAGCGGCACATTGGCAGCTGGGTAAAAGCAGTAGATGAAGTTGGCATGATTGAATTCAAGCCCCAGGCTCCCTCAGCACAAGCTCTCAAGCACTAGCTAGAGGCCTCTAGCTACACTATGTTTTCGACTTCTGCCACGGCCCTCCATATCCAGCACCTCCGCAACCCAGACTTCTTCCAGCACCACTTCGACCAGGTCGAAAACAGCAACGTCCAGCGCCGCTATGACGACGTCTGCCACAGACGCATCGACATCCGTGACGTGAACTTCCAAGTTTGTCTTCAACCACAACAGCTGCACATTGAGGAGCACCAGAACGCAACCAGCACTTTGTGCGCCCTTAGAAACGTCGTTCATGTGAATGTAATATGGATGAAGACATGCCCGGTGTCAATCTTAATCCCTAAGATCTGCTTGAAAAAGCTCGCTGCTACTCTGCATCGCCTCGCCAGTACGGGCACCAGTACAGCCACCATCCTTTCTTCCACCTCTTCCACAACATCCACCAGCTCAACTACTGGTGCCGGTGCAGGCACGTCGACGAGCGCCGCGACTGTCAGAGAACAAACCAAGTTGCGGGCGAATGGGGCATGCTGACATGGCCGCACCTGTTTCGATTGTTCGTTTCTCTCACAGTGCTTCTGTTTATGAATGCAGTTGTTGCCAGCACGCCCAGAGTGATGGTTCCTCGACGCCGGTCGCTCAAAAACACTGTCTTGTCTACTCGCTTTGTTGCGCCCGCTGCTGTTGCTGACGCTCTTTCAATCTTCAGTTTTAGTTTTAGTATTAATGAATGTTTAAGACTTCTTAAGAATTCTTAGGATTAGAGGTTCTTGTGGGGTGACAAGGGTATGAAAACATGGATCTTTGGTGCCCCGTGGGGTGTGCCAAGTAGAATGTGTGGAGTATAATATAGTATTGTATTCATATAGTACTACAAACAAGTATATGATAGTATAGTATGACATGATAATAGTATCGTCAGCAGGAGCAGCGTTGTATCAAATGATACCACTTGCTTTCACTTTAGAACAAGCACCACCGTAACTCACCTTTCTTCTAAACGAGTCAGCTTCTGAAACCCTGATGTCATTCAGACGCCGCTGTACCGCTCTTCATGCCGGGCCTCGGTTATATTCAAGAATCCCCAGAGTATGCGTGCTGTGAAGGTTGGCATGTCTCCGTGCCCCGCATGCGCAGCAGTGCGAAGCGTTTTGCGCTCGGCCAGCCCCCGACACCCCCTGGGGTAGAAGTAGTAGCAGGCCAATCGTCCCAGCCATGGTGTGCCGAATTTTGGCATTCGCAGCTTGCCGGCATGTGGGGTTGCGGTTTGGCTTCTACAGACGTGGCCCGTGAAAAGTCTTTTGAAGACGAAAGCCCTGAACCCTGAATATCAAAAGAAGTACCCTTGTAGATGCCCTTGATATGGAACTCTTGTAGAGCCCATTGTAGCACTCAAGCCTAAACCCACGAGTGGTCAGGCAGCATTTGCTGAGGATGCAGGGCTTTTCGGTAGAAGATTTTTCGGGGAATTCTCCATGCTTCGCTTCGAATTCGGTTGGAAGGGCCGAATGGTCGCTAGGTAGGCCAGTGGGATGTGTCCTCCTCTTGGCCTTTTTTGGAGGACCTTGTTTGATAAGAGTGTTCAGAGGCACCTAAGGGGTCAATCTGGGTCAGCGTGGGGCCTAGCTGGGACTCATGCTTGGGGCGCAAAGCCATAGGAATCGAGTCGAGACAGCAATGTGTTTCAGATCGCTGCTGTGTGACGCGTCTCTTATTCCTGTGTGTGTTAATTGCTTTCGGACGCGCGAGAAAGAGGAAGCACTGGTCATAATCCTAGACCTACACCGTAAAAAAACCCACAGCCATTGCAACACTGTAACAAAAACAATAGGTGCGTCAACCACCCTATCAAGAAACCCCAAAGCACCCAGTGCTCCAGCAAAACCCTTCTATCTCTCGTCTGAAGCTGATCCCTCGGCTCCGGGGTGTCAGGTCCTCTTGTCTGCAGCGCGGGCGCAGATGTGTGAGGATGGCCAGACATGCCAAGTGCCTGGGAATCTCGGCGAAGAGGGGTCGTTGCTTCAGTCGCGGATGAGCGAGGGGTCAGAAATGGACACGGGGATCGAGAACAGCGAGAACAGCGAGGACTCGGAGGAACCGCGGAGGAACGGATCCATGGCAAGCTACGTGGAGAAGGTGTTGGGCAAGGTGACGGCTCTCGGTGGCAGCCACCAGAAGAACGTGGAGCTAGCTAAGGATGAGGTCCGCAACCTCGCCGTTCAAGTGGCGGCAGATCCCTACACCGTCTTCAACGTGAGCCAGTCCAACATGAACGATGCCTTTGAGAGGATCATCGCTGAGATGGAAGATATCATCAACGACACCTTGGTGTCTTTGGACAAGGACCACAAGGAGTTCGACATCATGATCAATAATATCCTCCAGTGCGGGGTGAATCTCAAAGCCAGCAATGTGAGCGTGACGGAAATGAGCCCTGCCGTGTTGCTGCTCGGCGTCGAACATGATGTGTGCCGAAACGACACCGTTATCTTGCGGGACCAGAACCACACCGCCCAGACGAACTACTACAACTACATGGCGAACCCCAACATGCCCGACTGCGCGCAGAATTTCGGGCCAGGGACGTGCCCAGCGCAGCAGGACTTCTCAGTGCCGTTGTACTTCGACAATGCCATAACATGTGCCAGCGAGGCGGAGAAATGGGCCGGGGCGTTCCACAAACAGGCGGTTAGCTTGAAAAGTGCGCATGAGATTGCGGAGAAGGCTGTGAAGGACAAGTATGAGGCGTGCGACACGACACAGCTGACCTATGAGCAGGCCTTCTGCACTTATCGTACCGAGCTCATCGACCAATGCTCTGCGCTGGATAACTGCTACTCCAGCGCCGTGAGTGTGTTTAAGGCGACGAAGGATCTTATCCTCAAGTCCAACTCGAGCCGCCACGTGGCCTACATCGCTGCCAGGCAAGTGCAATGCTACATCCGTGTGCTGCAGTCGGACAACCTCACAATGGCCGCAATCGAGGCCTGTGATCACACGAAGGTCGACACGTCACCCCTGGCGCTGACCGTGCCTACTATTCCCCCCAAGCCCGCCTGCGACGTCTCCCTTGCGGCGGAGCACCCGTGTGGCACAGCGTGGGTCACCAAGAACTACGAGGACAGCACCAAGTACTGGGTCAAGGAGGAGATTGCCCACAAGAACTGTGCCGGGCTCGGTGAAGTATGGGGGTTCACAGTTCACGTGGTCGTTGCGCAACTTTAGATTCCGTCTACGACTCTACGAGCATGTAATTCCCGAGACCACCAAGAATCGAATGGTGCCGAAACCTGGTGAACGACACATGCGTCAACCTCGAAAGAACTGCTGAAGGCTTTGATAAGCCGTTTGAAAGCCCTTTTAAAGCCCGAACCCAAACCCAAACCCGACCCCCTAAAGCCGGAAAAGTATCCCAAGCCGCAATCCAAAAGCAAACCCAAAATCCCAAAAGCCCCAAACCATCCCAAACCCCAAAAGCCCCAAACCCCAAAAGTCACTCCAGGTATGCCATGCCTGACCGAGTCCTTGAACCTCGGGCTGACGCTGAAAAGCGACACTCGTTGACCAATGTTGCAACCTTTAACAACTTTTCTTGGGTTGCGATGTTTTTTTCGAGACTTCTCTAGGTTTACAAACGTGTAGTTCTCCAAGAAAAACTGGACGAATGAGGCCGAAGTTCATGGCGTTCAGGATATCTTGGACACGGTTGCCAGGATCTGGCTAAAAGCATACGCTTTTGCTTTCTTGGTTTTCTCGAGTCGTGTGTCTTCTTGTTCTTTCTGGGCCAATGGGCAAATTAGTAGCGGGCTTCTGGAGTAGTATGCTGTCGACTTTTGTGGGGGGGGGGGGGTGCTTGTTCTTCTTAGGCGGTTTCAGCCCTAAACCACAAACCCCGAAAGCCCAAACACAACCCGTAAGAACCATTAAGAGCGAAGGTTGCGGCGACTCGTGAGGGCCTTACAGGTGTGTGTCTTCCATGCCAGAAGAGGTGTTTGGGGCTGTGACGGTGATGTGCGAAAAAGACCTGTAAGGTGCATCCAGCAGCGACAAAGCCCATTGAGAACTAAAAAATGCAGGCCGAGGAATTCAATCGCGATCGCGCTGCGTGCAGCAAGTGCTTCAGAGGCGGAGGCTCTCAAAGGTCCAGAGTCCAGAGTTCGTGTTGTGCTGCTCTAGCAGTTCTTGTGCCTCGTGCCCGAAGCCATGCGTAGCTAGGAGACAGATCGCATTTTTAAATAAAAATTTTGAGCCCTCGACGAGAAACTTCGCCTGGGCTGTGTAATTGTGTAATTAATGTATGGCGACTTTCCCTCAGACGGTCGGGTGTGAAATCATCGAAGCCGTCGCAGAGGTGCCAGCTGGGCCGTCAAAGCGGTGCCCGGAGGTTTGGATGATGTTCCAGTCTCCGGATGCCTGCGGGCTTGGCGATGCAAGATGCCAATGTGACCTGTGCAGGGTCTCATCGAAGTTCCTGTACTCGGATCTTTCAGCCAATGTGTGGACTCTTACAGCCAATGTGCCAATCTCAGCCAATGACGACAGGCGAGTCTATGAACAATGTCCTAAGCTGCAAAGTCTCTTGCAAAGGTCCCAAGTCACCCAAACCCTAAACCCTAAACCCTCAATTCCAAACCCTAAGCCCCTAAACCGGAGGCGTTTGTGCCACTCAAGCCCGATGCACCGCAGTAGAATCGTTCCGGCCATGTCCTGCCGGCTGTTAGCAATCGAAGCTTGGCGGTCTTCTGGGGGTTCTTTGGGGTTTGGGTTTTACGGTTTAGGGTTTAGACCCCATGTCCCTGTTCTTCTTCTTCGGGCCCCCTTTTGAAGTGATACCTCAAACAACCCCCATAACCCTCTTCTCACTACGAAAAAGCCTCCATGGTAGGGCCTTCAGGTCAACTGTTGGCAAAGCGTGGGGGTTTTCAGCAGCCCAAGCAGTCGGATTGGGAAGGTTCCACATAAGGGTTCCTGAAAGCAGGGGTCTCTTCGGGTTCGTTGGGGTTCGGAGGTTCGGGTTTGTGAGCCCGACGAAGCTTGGTCCATCAGTTGTAACACAGAGTAGATTGTAATGTTCTTCCTGAGGGCTGCTGACTTCAAAACTAGTTACATGAGAAACCCCAAAACTCAATTCTAGTAAGGCGCCTATACTGCCCTGTACCCTTCCGGAATTTGTTTGCAACGGAAAAGGGGGTGTCCTCAAAACCAAAAAGTCTGTGGATAAAGGGGTACTGCAGCCCTTTAAATGAACCTCTGCCGTTGAAGGACCAATATTCGGATCCCTGTTGTAGAGCCTACAAAGCGACAGTTGTTAATCAAGGGTCTATATTCATCACATGAACAGGGTTCTACTCGGATGTTGAAGCTACTTGGAACTTTGTGCCTGATAATCATCTCCGTTCCAGATTCGTCAGCAGTACCTGAAGGTTGAGGTATTTCATTTAAGTAAGTTGCTGCAATATCCATGAACATAGCCCTTATCGCGACCCGGAAAGCCCTTACAACCATGCAAGTTTGAACCCGTGTGAGAAAAAGCCCAGATTCCGCCGCCATGCAAATGACTCGCAAGGTGCCGCGCTGCTCGGGCCATCTCGATGCATGCAAAGGCAAAGGTTTCCCTCTCCAAGAGTTGCAGGCATTGCAGGCGGGCGTGAGAGTCAGAACTCAAGTTCTGACGTTCGGAGATTGCTCGGAGTGTGTCTGACACGCCGGAGCGCCTGGTTCAGGAGTGCCAACTGCTCGAACCGTGCTTGGGCTTCCTGCCTGAAGCACCTGAAGCGAAGCGTAGCAGAGATGTAGTTTCGCGCGAGATGAGAATCGGGTGTGAGATCCAAAAAACCATGTTTGTGTGTTGTTCCAACAGGTCAGTTGATGCTTGGCCACCTGAGGGTCCAGGTTGACCTGCAGCCCAATCATAGCCGAAAGCTCATCGCTCCTTCTCCTGGGCTCTTTCCTTTGTCAGCCTTTCCATGACTCTATGACGCTAGGCGAGCGCAGGCCCGACCAGTTCCTGTGAAGTCTCTTACAGGGTTGCAGGTCACAGTAGCTAAAAAATGACAGTGCCTCAGGCATTCTGTGCTACACCAGGCCGAAGCTGCGGTGCTCGAAGAGAACTGGATCCCCCCGTTAGTCGCTGTGAATCTTGGGGTCTGCGTGCCTTTTTAAACATGGCGCAGAGGCGACCCTTAGTATTTACGGGGATACCTGGGGATCTAGATCAACTGTTTATACGACCTTTTATGCAACCCTGGACTTATAACTTATAACCCCGAAGCCCTTAAGGGAGAACCTAGTAGCATGAAAACAACCTTCAACAACTTAGAACAACTTACCCCCCAAACCCGAAGCCAACCCCCCAAAACCCTAAACAACAAGTTTTTCCAGAGTGCCATGCAGCGCCGACTGCTAGCAATCGTAGCTTGGCGACACTCGAGGGTTAGGGGTGTACACGAGTGGGTTGCGGGGGTTAGGCATTTGGGGTTTTGTTTGGGGCTGTTGGATTTAGAGGTGTAGGGATTCAGGGTTTAGGGGGCTGTGTGGGTCGAAAGTTTGAGGGTTTTTGGTTTTGACAGTTGCCGGGTTGCAGGGTTTAGGGCTTTTCGAGTCTGGGGCTTGGGTGCCCCTAAACCCTAAACTCTACATCCGGGTTTTGCGAGCCCAAGTGATACACCAGCAAGTACACGGTTTCTGCGGTCCAGGCCAGGAGTTGTGTGGTTCGGTGTTTAGGGTTTAGGGTTTAGGGTTTTGGGTTTTGAAATTTCGAACTTAGGGTTTTGGCGTTTAGGGGCTTTGAGCTTTAGACTTTAGGGTTTGAGTCACGCCTTCTCTTGTTTGAGTCCCCGCTGAATCCCTCAGCTCCCTAAACTCTAGAACCCCCGACCCCCCCCCCCCTCACCCCGCAATGTTAGCTCTTAAAACCCGATAAACCCTTCTGGACCCTGAGCACTCAACCCTTCCAACGCCTCAACCTTTCTGAATCCTAGACCCAGGTCCTTTTGGCTGCGGCGCAGGAACAGACCTGCGAGAACCTCTTGACATGCCAGCCATATGGCAACCCCAATGAGGAGCAGCCCCTAAACCCTGAACCCTGAACCCTGAATCCTAAACCCGAAGCCCTAAACCCTAAACCCGCTCCGTTTTAGGGTTCTGGAGTTTAGGGCTTCTAGGGCTTTGGGGTTCTGGGTCTCTCGGCTTCGAGGCGTGGGGGGCACTCTAGGGCGTTTAAGGCCTGAGGGTTGTAGGGTTTAGGGTTTCAGGGAAGTTTAGGGTTTGGGGTTTAGGGTTTAGGCTTTTTTCGAGGAGTCATTGGGTGTTGTAAGGTTTGGTAGCGGCTTATATGGGTAATATTGGGGCTTCTCACCGAGTATTTCGGAGCTCTTACACAGTAGGCTTCCACTGACTTCCAGTATATTTGGGTCTGCAGCAGGGGCTCCGGCTGCCTGAGACCCTGACGAGGAGGGGGCATTCATGCAAGTGCGCGTCGCCGACGAGTCGCAGATGGCTGCAGCCATGGCAAGCTCCGAAGAGGACCTGAAACCCGAGGCCCTCAGTTCTTGAAACCCCCTAAAGCTGCCCCAAAACCCTAGACCCTCAACCCCTAAGCCCTTTTCAAACCCGGGGCCCTTCGCCCTTACAAGCTCTCATTCGTAAACCAAGCTCTTTCGGGTTTAGGGAAAGGGTTTAGCCCGGATAAGCCCCTTTTTTTGGCCTCGAAAGTTTTGTCAAAACCGTTGTGCCTGAAGGAGGGGGCTGCTCTCGCTGGCCTGGGCAACGAGGAGCTTGCCAAGGAGGTGCAGAGGAGAGCTCCCAGGTTCTCATTTGAGTTCAGGGTTGGGGCTTAGGGGCATCAACTGCTAGAAAACCTGCAACACCCTTCTAAACGTCTAAGCGCCTACTCCCCCAACAGGCCCTTGTAAAGCCTGTACGTGGTTCTCCCATGACCCTTATCGGCGCTTACAGCACAAGTAAGAAACCACAGCACAAGTGGCGAAATACTAAACCCTTAAAAGAAACGTTCGAAAACAACAAATCCTAATGGCTGAAGCCGTATGATAAGACCATGCAACAACCCCCGATAGAATCCCGAGAACAACCGCACACCCTAAACCCCAGAAGTCCGCAAGAGCCCTTCGAAACTAATCCTCAAACCTTAACCCTAAACCCTAAACCCTAAGCCTAAACCTTAAACCCCCCTGGAGGATGGCGGGGGCCGACAGCAGCTGTTTGACGGACTATCCGGGTCTCACGGACCTGGCCGAGGCTCAATCCTGGGTTTAGGTGTAGGGTTTAGGGTTCAGGGTGGCCTTAAAGGTACCAAGAGGGTTTTGCCAGGGTGTTAAGGGGTTGAGGGCTCTAGGGCTCAGCACGCACAACAGGATTCCTTCAGCGGGTTTCGAATGCTCTTGTCACTGTCAGTCGCTTTGCTCTTCTTGCTCGAATGCTCTACTCGCTTTCGGGTGGTTTGCTCCTTGCTCCCCTTCTTCCGACGACTAATCCCTTTCGAGCGGCTCCTTCTTCTGGCTTTCGAGAGCGGCTTCTCCGAGGCCCTCGTCCCTTTCGAGTGGGTTGGCCTTGTCTCTGAATCGGCTTCGAGTGCCTTGCAAGCGGTGTGCGCCTTTGTCTGAACCGGGTTAGTCTCTTGTGAGCGGTGTGACCCTTTTCCTCAAGTACTCTAGCGGCGTGCGCCTTGGTCTCAACAGCTCAAGCGGGTTGCCCCTTTCTCTTCGATGCGCTATTCCTCTGCGCTAGTTCCTTTAGAAAAGATTGCACTGTTTCTTTCGGCTTGCTGTTTGTTCTCGAATGCTCTAGTCCCTTTCGAGCGGTGTATATACGCCCTGTTCTCCTTGTTCTCCAAAGCTCGCGCAGTTGCCCCTTTTTCCTCCAATGCTCTAGTCCTTTTCGAACGGTTTGCACTTCCTTCCCGAATGTCGTTTGCGAGCGGTTTGCACTTTGTTCTCCCATGCTCTATTCCTTGTTCTCCTTCCTCTGAATCGCGCTCTCGTCCCTGTTCAGTTTTCTCAAATGCTCTAGTCCCCTTTTGAACGATTAGCTCATTTTAGTCCCGTTCGAGCGTTTTGCGTGTGTTTCTCAGACTCGCAAGGCCTCTTGAAGCGCTTTGCTCCTCGTTCATGTTCTAGCCCCCTTTCGATGGGTTTGCCTTCTCACATGCGTTTAGCCCCTGGATTCCCGCGTTCTCAAATGCTTTACTCTCCAGCGATTTGCTCCTCTTTGTCAGATGCGTGCTCCAGTCCAGTCCCTCTCGAGCGGTCTGCCACTGTTTCTCCAATGCTCTATTCCTTGTCTTTCGGTTGGCGCCACACCGTCGAAAGGGACGACAGCATTCGAGAAAAAGGAGCAGGGACTAAGCCGATTCAGAAGAAAAGGGCACACCGCTTGCAATGGATTACAAACCGGTTCAGAGGAAGCCAACCCACTCGAAGGGGTGAACTTCTGAGAAACCGCTCGAAAACCGTTGAGCGATTCAGAAGAAGGAGCAAACCGCTCGAAAGGGACTAGGCGTTTGCAGAAGAGGAGCAGGAACAGGAACAAACCGCTCAAAAGCGACCAGAGCATCGCCAGCAGCCTGCTCCGACCATACAGGCCGCCAAAGAGAGAAGAAGCGAAACGCTTCTGTTGAGTAAAAGGAGCAAGCAAACCGCTCGATAGTAACAAAGGTAGTTTTGAGAAAACAAACCGCTCGAAAGGTACCAGAGCATCCCAGGAAAAGAGGCTTCAACCGCTCGAAAGGCATTAGAGCGTTTGGGAAGCCATGATTACACGGCGGCGGCGGCGACGACGACGACGACGACGACTACGACTAGAGCGTCGAAGAAATGGGGAACTAGGAACCCGAGTGTTGAAGAGAAAGGGCAGACCTTTTGAGCTTCTGAGAAGGCCACAAGAGGCACCGCAAGAGGCACCAAGTGTTTAGGGTTTAGGGTTTAGGGATTTCTGGGGAGATGCGGATGCTATCGGGAACGAGGCAGCAGACTGTTGGCAAGCAGCGCGGTTCTGGGCACCTTCTCGAATGGGTGGGGAAACAGGAACACACCGCTCCAAAGAAAAATTGTGGTTGAGAAACTGGTGCAAACCGATCGAAGGGGACTAGAGATTCAATCCGACCGACCAGGGGCCAGAGCTTTGGAGAAAGAGGAGCGAACCGCTCGAAAGGGGCTACAGAGCATAGAAAACGGAGCAAACCACTCGCCAAGGCACATGGTTTGAGAAGCGGGAGCGCGTCTCTTGAAACGGACTAGAGCAGCTGAGAGAAGGAGCAAACCGTCCGAAAGAACCCAGCAAGCCGCTCGAACGGACTGGGCGACACTTGGGTTCAGGAGTAAACCACAGGTTACTATGTAGAATATAGTTACATCAAAGAACTCATACGGACTAGTGTTTGACTTCAGGCCACTATGTTGGTTCCATGTATTCGTTAGTCAGCACTCTCTTTAGTTAACCCTTAGACACTGTACCCTAAACTTGCCCAAAGCCCCAAGCCCCCCCGGTGGAGAAGCTCAGGAATTTCATACAGGTTTCAGGGGTAGCTTGTAATGATCCTTAGAAGAACCCCTACAGAATCGTTATCCTAAGGTAAACCCTGAGCCCTCTGCAGCCGGAGGCGTTGCGCAGCAGCTTGGGTGAAGGCTCCAACTCCTCCCTGGCGAAAGCGCTGCGAAGTCTTGAGGAGATGGTTCTATTAGGGTTTCTGTTTTATTTACTGTAGGGTTTCTGTTTTATTAGGGTTTCTATCTTAAAAACTCTCTTCTGGTTTTGGAAAACCTTCAGTCTTGAGGAGATCCTCAGATCCCACCAGCGCGACGTGGAGCTCGTTCAGGGGCTGCCTGGGTGCCAGTTTTGATCTGAAAGTCAGTACCACTAACCGACATCTCCCATAACCCCAAAACATTAGTATATGCTACTGCAATACAATAGAACAAGTTAAGAACACCCCGAAGTCCTCCAGAGAGACAGGCTCGGTCAGAAGGAGTTCCTGGCCTGCAATGCAAAGCTGCGCGAGAGGACTCCATCAGGTTGACTTTTCACTTCTTGAGGGCTTCGCGGGGGGCTTAGGGTTAGCGTTTAGGGTTTAGGGTCTAGGGGGCTGATAAGGGTTTTAGAGGAGTTTATGCTCATACGGCTTCAGGCTGATAGGGTCCGCAAAGGTTCTCGAGCGCCTTTTTCTCATTCAGGACTAGGTTGTTTAGGGTTTTACAGGGGCTTATAGGGGTTCTAGAGGGCTGTATAGAATTTGAGAACTTTCGGTAATCAAGTGTGTTGGGCACCTGAGGTTTAGGAATGAGGGATCGGGGTTCAGAGTGGTTTCTGGATAATGATCCAGGTCGCCCAGTAATGACGTATAGGGTTTAGGGTTTAGGGTTTGGGTTTTGGGGTCCCCCTGAAAAGATTGGAGAAGGCAAGCCCTGTGCTTTGGAGGGCATGAAAGCCCTACAGCCAAGGTCCGAAACCTAAACCCCGAACCCTAAACCCTCAACCTCCTAAACCCTAACCCCTAACCCCTAACCCCCAACCCCTAACCCCTAACCCCTAACCCCTAACCCCTAACCCCTACCCCTAACCCCTAACCCCTAACCCCTAAACCCCAAACCCTATACCCTAAACCTCCTAAACCCTCATCCCTAAACCCTGAGCGGGAGGACCCGGCTCGAAGTCCAAAGGCTCTTCGCTCTTTCCAGGCAGCCCCGGTCGGATCCTGGGTTTTTTTTGAAGTGCCCTCCCTTTTGGGGTTTAGGGTTTAGGGTTAGGGTTTAGGGTTTAGGGACGCCCGGAACCCTCCCTTTTCGTCCATGCAAAGAGGGTTTTGGGGTTTAGGGCTTTTCGCCCGTGTTAAGGATCCCACAAACCGGGTTTTCGGATTCTCTTAAGGGTTCCATAAGGGTGCTCTGTAGCAGTGCCCATTTCCCCATTCTTTATGGGCTCCATAAGATGGCAATGAGGGTACTGTGCGGGCTTTAGAAGGGTTCTCCAGTAGTAGCAATTTTACGACTGGGGTTTGAAGAACTGGTACCCTCAGGCCTTTTCGGTTTAGCTGCCCAGCTTATCCACTCTTGTGACGCCAAATCCTGACCCCAGAAGCACAAGCCCGGGACGTACCGGCTTTGGTTTGGGGGTCCAACACCGTTTTATCCTACATTGGGTTTAGGGTTTAGGGTTACGAGTCATGCTCAGTAGTTGGATAGGTAGCCTTCAAACTTTGGCCCTTTTAGTAGATTGGACAAGCAGGCGTGTTATGAAGGTGTATCCACGTGGTTGTAGTCGGGTTGAATTCGACAACAGCTTAGGAATGCGGATCAAGGCCCTGTCCGAGTGAAGTTCGCGAGTCGTTTTGCGCCGGCACGAGCATCGCATGCGGCACGACGGACTGCTCGAGGGCTGGCGGAGAGCCCTGCGAGAACTGGACCATTGGGAGCACATCTGGTGATCCAGCATCAAGCACCGAGAGGACTCAAGGCTGTGACTCGGTAACCTCTTAGAGACTCTCCCTTTTATTTCATTTCTCAGGGCTGACCCTTCTATATGCTTCTTCCACACACTGTTCACGCTACATACCATCATGCATTACTGTATCTGCACCGATGTGCCCAGTGGAATCGCGGCGGGGGGGGGGTTCCCAAAATCGGGGTTCTTGTAGCCTTCTCGGGCACTCCTTTTAATTGTTGGTGATTCATGGTGTACTATTCTGCGGAGGTTTATATGGGGGTGGGGACCTTAAACCCTAAACCCTAAACCCTAAACCCTAAGCCCTAAACCCTAAACCCTAAACCCTCAACCCTACACCCTAAACCTTAAACCTTACACCTGGGAATCCCCAAAATGTCAGAGCATTTGCTTGACCCTACTCTTTCTTGACCCCCGCCGAGCTTTTTTCTGACCGCGGGGGGGTCAGAAAAAAATCCACAAACCCTAAACCCTAATCCCCAAACCCCAAACCCCAAACCCTAAACCCTAAACCCTTGAATAAAGAGGTGACGCCCGGACGCAGCTTGTTCAAGGCCTCTGCGATCATTTCGCGTCCGTGAGGTCCTCGTGCGACCGCCTCTCAGCCTGCTGGGCGGCCGCAGAACTCCACGTTCGTGAGACGGTGACTTGCGCTTGAGACACTTTTTATAAGAATAGCTATGATTGTTGTTATTGTTGTTACTGTTCTTTTTCTTCTTATTGTTGTGATTATTCTTATTATTCCTATTATTCTTATAATTCTTGTTATTCTTGTTATTCTTCTTCTTCTTATTATTATTCTTATTGTTCTTAGTATTCTTAGTATTCTTATTATTCGTATTATTCGTATTATTCTTATTATTCTTATTATTCTTCTTCTTCTTATTATTATTCTTATTATTCTTATTATTCTTATTATTCTTATTATTCTTATTATTCTTATTATTCTTATTATTCTTATTATTCTTATTATTCTTATTATTCTTATTCTTCTTATTCTTCTTATTCTTCTTATTATTCTTATTCTTCTTATTCTTCTTATTCTTCTTATTATTCTTATTATTCTTATTGTTCTTATTATTCTTATTATTCTCATTTTTCTTATTATTCTTATTATTCTTGTTATTCTTATTCTTCTTATTATCACGAGTGTTAAGACAGGACCCTCCGTGGTCTCGTTTCCCCCAAAAGAAGCATTGAGAGAAATTACTCGAATCCTACGTGGGGATTGGATCTTTGTGGTCCTTCATGACGAGGGATTTATCGATGAACGGTCTCAGTGAAATCTGAAAGCTACGGCGTTGTCTGTTTGAAGCCAAGAGACATCAACTTGAAAAGTAGTCCCAAGAGAAGCTGAGGTAGAAGCGGTGCAGCTCAGAGTCTCCAGAAGGAAAGCAGCGTATACTGCAACACAGCGGATGATATGCCACATCAACATCATTTCAGAAGTGGCCACCCTTGCTGCACCTTCCGCAGAACCGCTGACGGCGTCCATAAAGGACTGTGCTGAACTGAGGGTGGACACCTCCATACTCAACATTACATTTCCGCAAGACAGAGCCTCGATCCCCCAGCATTTGGTGCCTTTTTTCTATATAGGGGTCTTCTTTATGCAAAACCGAATCATGGAAAGAAAGGGGGGGGACAGTGTCGGGATAGTGGGGAACCAAGGAACCGAGAAGGCATCGTGCGACCAGACTTCTTGTTTTTTGAGCGCCGCTAGCCTCTTCACCATGTCCTGCGACTTGGTCACGCACTCGTACCCCTATGCTTAAGGGTTTAGGGTTTAGGGTTTAGGGTTTAGGGTTTGGGGTTTAGGGTTTAGGGTTTAGGGTTTAGGCCATATTCAGACTGGCTTCTAGGAAGTCGTGGAGACCTTTATCAAGCTCTCTATATAAGTGCTCTTTAACCAGCTACGAAAACCTCGTGCTTTTGGGAAGCTGCAATACATCCACTAAGCCTTAAACCCTAAACCCTAAACCCTAAACCCTAAACCCTAAACCCTAAACCCTAAACCCTAAACCCTATAGAAACCCCAAAGGTGACGTGGGTGTCTGCAGAGCTGTTGCAGCAAGCAGAGCCCGTGATCAGCTCCTGGAAATCCAGCCTTTTTGCCACAGGTTAGCCAGGGTTTAGGGTTTAGGGTTTGGGGTTGGGGGTTTGGGGTTTAGGGTTTAGGGTTTGGGGTTTACGGTTTCGGGTTTAGGGTTTAGGGGTTAGGGCTAGTGTTGATGAAAACATGCGCAAGTCTGCTCTCAAGGTTTTCGGCTCATTTAGGCATATTCGTCGCACACGTTTCCGAGGGCCTTGAAGTTACTAGTTTGTTTTCCGGTACTTCGGTCGTCAAAAAAAGATTTTGTTTTGCAATTACCACCAAAACGTTCATGGAACAACCCAAAGCCCCAGGCCCAAAACTTAAACCCAGAGCCTAAGACCCCAAGACCTTATGCGCAAAGCCCTCACTCCCACAGCGGTACACCCCTACACCCTAGACCCAAACGCAAGTGGAATGGCAGCCTCACCATGATAACAGTAGCAATCATGCTAGTACTAATAATAATACTAATAAGAATACGAATACGAATACTAATAATTTTACTAATAATAATACTAATAATAATGATACTCATAATAAGAACAATAACAATAATCATAATGTATGAATGTATCCGCAAGATGAGGTCATCAGAGGTTTCTGAAGCAGCTCAGAGTGAGCGGGAAGGCCGGTGTTGGTTTTCCACCAGCTCCTCGGAACCTGTGCCCCGGCCCTTTTTGGGGTTTAGGGTTTAGGGTTTAGAGTTTGGGTTTAGGGTTTAGGGTTAAGGATTTAGATGCCTCTTAGGCGTGGAATGTTAGTCGTGTTGGTTGCAACTGGGGTGTGTTGGGCACACGCGTGTTGAGAACAGGGGGGTGCGTGTTGAGAACAGGGCAGGCGTGAGTCAGGAACGCAGGGGGGGTGAGTCGGGAACAGGGCCCATGTACCGCACGCCGGGGGTTGAGTTGGGAAAGGCTGCCCGGGTTTCGGAGTGATGAGCCTACTCTGCAGGTTTGTTTTAAGTCCTCTTTCGACGACTTGGAGTTGGGTCTACCGTCTTCTTTTCAGCGTGTCATGAACCCGCACACCAATTCGGCGTGTTGGTGTGCGGGTTCATGACACGTCGGATGTGTTCGCCTCGTAAAGTCTGCCCTTTGGAAGCTGAAAAGAAGACGGTAGACCCAACTCCAAGTCGTCGAAAGAGGACTTAAAACAAACCTGCAGAGTAGGCTCATCACTCCGAAACCCAATTCTGGGGGGCAGCCGTTCCCAACTCAACCGGACGTGCTGTACACATGATGTTCCCGACTCACCCCCCCTGCGTTCCTGACTCACGCCTGCCCAGTTCCCAACACGCGCCCCCCCTGTTCCCAAGACACCCTCGGCCCGCTCCCGACACTTGTAACCGACTCAACCTTCATCCCCTAGGCGCGGTGTACAAGTTTGAAAGGGGTTCTGTAACCGGGCCTTCTATGGTTTGGGACTTTAAGGCAGCTTTGATTGACATTACTTGAAGATACTCTTGGCTTCTCTCAGGAAGATGTCACAAGCTTGCTTGTCAAATGCCCGAAAAGTGTCTGTGTGGATGTCACTTTCTCAACCCCCGAAACCCTAAACCCTAAACCCTAAACCCTCGAAACCCTTAGCCCCAACCCCTAAAGACAAGCCCAGGTGTTACGGGACTGTCCCAAGGATTGCTTCGAGATGCCGCAGGCTGAAACGACCCAAGCCCCTTCTTACAGCACCTTCTTCGGCAAAGCAATGCCTGCATAGTAGAATCCCGCGCAGAATGCTTGAGAATGTCGGGCGGGATTTGTTCATCCAGGGTCGACATGTTCCTTTGCCCTGTTGCAAGTTGCAGGCAACTTGTAGATCCCCCACCAACTGGGCATATAAGGCTACGGCCAGAGCTACTATGCGGGCCGGAATGCGGGCTGGAATGCGGGCTGGAGGTGGCGGTGGAGACGGCGGCGGCATTGGCAGCCTTACCGGCCTTACCGCTAGATCGAGTCACAGAGCCGGGCGGCACGAGGGTTTAGCGAGGACTGCCGTCCAGACCGTCGGTAGTCTTGCTCTGAGATCGCATGTGTATTTAAGCCACCATGGGTACCACAAGCTGTCCCATGTACGGACTCCGCTGTCAGGAAACCTTAAATTGGGTTTTTTTCCGGCGAGGACGCAAATTCAGATGTACATAATGCACCTCGACAGAGGCTGAGAAGAAAAGGAACGACCCACATGTAAGCATAACCCTGCGCAAAGCTGGAAAAAGAGCGGAACAAAACATGTGAACATGCATCTCATTGTCAACGTCGGAATCTGAAGGTTTTCGTATCCACCATGTGCTCGGCCGCACCTGATTTCTGAACAGTCTCTCTTTCATAGTCCATGTCTCTTTTGTCATGCACGTCCTAACAGAATGGGCTCATGTTGCCGACTTATCGAAAAGCTGTGCTCGAAGCCGTGCACTGGTGCAGCTCGTTGAATCGGCTCCTTCTACGGGAAATGCGGTGTCAACCATGAGATCCTAACATGGCCTATTTGGGAAAGACCTTGCTTCCGGAAAGGTTTAAACACCATGTTCCTGGTGCTGTTGCTGCATGACCTGGGCCTCGAACTAACATAACTTGGAGCATTGCACCATTCGCCCCCAAAACCCCTAAACCCTACATCCCCAAACAGAAGCCAGCTGAGATCTCATTGAGTCGGCTCCTTCTATGGGAAGTGCCATGCCCCTAAACCCCTAAACCCTAAGAAATCCTCAGCTACATCTAATTACAACGACACCTGCAGGCGAGATGGGGTGGCCAGACGGGCGGCGTACACATGACGAACTTGGAGACAGCGAGAGCAAAGTTGCAAACAACCCAGCGTGTCACATGCTTTTGCATGAAACGTGAAAATCTGCACAGATATCGGAGCAGGAGCTCATGGAATTTGTGCCGAGAACAATAGTTGGTAGGCGTGAACGACTTGCGAGCAGCATACACAAACAAGCACTGTGGGCCCGCCGCCTGCCGCGGCAGAATGCAACCCAACCGACAGCGTAATGAGCTCCTGCAGGTCGGCACCAAGCCTGGCAGTATCCGAGCACCGCTCCCCAAAAATCGAATGTCTTGCTATGCCTTGTTGAGATCATGATTTGGTTGAACGATACAGTGCCCTGCGTGGTGCTCACCGGGCAGGCTATGGTGCGCCCACTTGTCGCTGGCCAATTCTACACCCCGAAGTCTGTAACAGGCAAACGATTTCCATGTGACTGTCCTTGAATTGCCGAGCATTCGAGGTGTGTCGGCGCAACCTCGGGAGTGCTTCTGGACGTACTTTTTGGATGTTTTGGCATGTCTGCGCGGCTTCAATGATGTCGAACAAGGATCGCGACTTAACGTTTTTCTGAATCATTGTGCGTGTCCCAAATGAATGGATTCAAGAAACAATGGATCCGTGCGACCGTAGACCGAAGTTGGTACCGAGGTGCAGCATGTGGCGCGGGAAACACAGCAGGATGTTGGGATATTTCCACAGCGGATGTAAGCTTCTGTGAAGTTCTAGCGTTTGCGCCCGCATGGCAACGCAAGCACTGGGCTGCACACTCGTGCATCAGGTTCTTGGTTCCACGACGTGTGTTTGAACCCGAAGCACGCTGTCAAGCGACTGTTGACGTCTTGTGCTAAGAAAGTAATTGTAAACGCTTGCGCGCCCCACATCGCCGACGTCCCAAGGCCCAAGAAATTGGATAAGCCTTTCGCAGGTCTGGCAGGCTGATCAGGTCTCTTAGGGTTCCGGGGGGGTTGTCCGAGGGGAGTGCAAGGGTTCTCAGGCGTGGGGTGCAAGCGGGTAAATGGGGTCCATCCCCAAAAATGGGCACAAAAGTTCCCAAAAAAACATCCCAGGGGGCGTCTCAAAAGAGCACGCTCCTGTAGGCCGCCGACGAAATCTGAAGGGAAGGGACGGGGGGGGGGGGGAGACCGGATCCTGTGGTCTTGGTGGAACTTTCGTCCGGTTGACCCAGGCGTTTGGGGAGTAGCTTCAGCAAGGGCAGCTCCTGGTGATCCCCTGCGTGTCCCCGCGTCGCACGGCACCGGCAGCTCACGCAGCGCCGGCGCGTGAGCGCACATGGCCACCGCCGGATACGCTGGGTGAGCCGCCAAGGCGGCCTTTTGCCGGAAAGCGAGGCGCTGGGGCTGAAACGTTCTCCGCCCTTCCCCCTTATCTCCCCTTCACGTCCCTGCCCAGAGCGGTGCGATGCTGGCATGCCTTGGCGCCTTCGGCGACGGTGCCGAGGTGAGGCCCTCCATTGCAAGACCTGTTTTTGCAGCGGCCTCACCTCATCAGCCTCGTGTGAAACCTTCTACACGAATTTTCTTTCTGCAGGTTCCTGCAGAGAAATTAGCGCGAAAAAACATCCGGCCCCATCACGAATTTGCAAAGAGTCATCGCACCCTTCGCGAATCTGAGCGCCGCGCCACAGCGGCAAGCCGTCTCCCGCGGCCGTGTGCGGTGGGAACTTTTCGGCAAATTCCAGGGCAAGCTCCGCAGCGGTTGGCGCATGTTAGCGCCTGTGCAGTCGGAGTCGGAGGATGTCGGAGGGTGTGGCCGATTATGCGGAAGCTTTCCAAGCTCTTTTTGTCGAACCGGGGTGATCTCAACGGAGGTTTGCGTCTGGCATTACCTTCTCAAAACAAAGACACGGTTGCGACAGTCGACAAACTGAACGTGAGCGTACGAACCGTCAGTGATTGTTGCGACACATCGTCACCACTTGTTTTGACCAGGGCGTGGCATGCCGCAGGTAACGAGGCCACTTCTCGCTGAGCTCCGCGACCCGGACAGCCCGAGGTGACCGTCGACGCGCTCACCCCAGAGGTGCTTGCGCACGCCCAGTCGAGGCTTGCCCTGTGCCCGGACTGCTTCGGTCCTGCGCGGAGTACGCCGTGGCTCTGCGGCGGCGTGTGAACTCTTGTCGCGCGGCTTGTCAAGCGGAGTGCATTCACTTCCAGTTCGGCCTCAGCACTCGCGCTGGCACTGAAGCACAAGTTACCCCAAGTCGCCACCGAGTGCAACTTCGCGGCCCGAACTTGAGACTCTCTGCTGCCCTTGCTGCCGTCAATTCTGCGGGCAGCTAGCTGCTATGTGTGGACAGGCGATGCTGGAGCTGACCATGAGGTGCTTCAGGCTGAGGGCGGGGAGCAAAGCGACCCCCTCACGCAGGCTTTATGCGCCTGTTGCGGGCACGCTCGCGCTAGGTGTGGCCGTGCTCGCGTTTGGAGACGACATGTACGTTGTGGGCCCGCCTGAGCGAGTCGCGATGGTGCCCTCAACGACGCCTTGTCGAGACTGGCTCAACCAGGGCAAGACCCGCGGGCGAGGAGCCCCCCAATCTGGCGGCGCGCCGCCTGGACGCCAGGGACTGCTGGTTGTGCTCGCCCCATCTCGCCCCTATCCGCGGCATTTGTGCGGCAGCAGGTGCAGGAAAAACGCTGCCGGCAGAACACCCTGCTGCAGCGCATCCCGGCCCTCGCCGACTTGCAGTCAACGTGAGCCAAGTAATTAGACTGTGCACGCCACGCCCCCATGCCGAGCATGGCATCACAGTCAAACGAAAATGTGCCCTTGCCGCTTGGCGTGAGTCGTCTGCCCGCTCCCCACCATCGCCTCCCGATCACATAGGCGGCAGCAGTTTGACAATCGCCGTCGGGTTGCAAACCAGCGTAGCAATCCAGTGCCCGCGATAGCGCCTGTATCCCATTCGAGATCCATCACACAGGCGAGTGAACTTGTTGTCCAGCTCCTGTTCCAATCTGAGTGCTGCAGCCATCGTGAAAACCGTCCCACCAACCGCGTACGTAGCCACTGCTACCAGGGTCTCAGCTGCCTCCGAGCACCAGCCAGAAACGAAGGCTTCACGAAGTAAAAAAGCGCTCCGCCTCGTCGGCGGCGAGCCAGCGGTCAAAGTAGCCCGTGGGCTCCAAAGCCTGGGTGCTTGGTGGGAGGGCTTGGGGGTTAAAAATTCAGGGGGCGCTTAGGGTTCCGCCGCCTTGTGGCGCGGGCCTTGGCCAAAAGTTGGGCGGCGGCGACGCGCCCATACCAGTTCGCGCTTCAGGCGCGCGCTGGCACGGATGCCCTGGCAGCGCATGTGCGAACGGCCCTAGAGCTGCAGGATGACGCGGTCCTCGTTTCACGGGATGGGCGCCGCGCCTACGATAGCATGTCGCGGGCATCCTTCCTCACCGCCCTCCAGGAAGCGGCGCCGGGACCATTCGTGCGGTTCTTTTAGGGGGGCCCTTCCACTTACTGCTGGTTGGACACCAGGGCCCTGCCGGGACGTCGCTCAAGGCAGGGATGTGAACAAGGCGACCGCTTGCCCCAGCTCTTTTCACCTTCGGCCAACACCGTGCATTGTGCAAGGGCCTCAGCCCTCCATCCGTCCTGCTTGCATCCCGACGACTTGTATGTCCTGACTCCGCGCGAACGCGCGGGGCCCGTACAGTCCGAATGCGGCATAGCCGCCAATGAGGGCATACGCGCGTATACAGTCCGCCGGGGGCCCGCCTCCGCCGGTATAGAGCCTCGGGGCGGATGGTGGCGTGGACAGGCCTCCCGCTAGCGCGGACTGGTGTTGGGTACCCCATTGGCCACCCGCGTACGGGCGTGGCGGAACAGCGTTGAGCACAGAATGGAGCTTCTGCACCGTGCCCCACTCCCAGATCTGCAGTGCGCGTGGCTCCTCCCCGCTTTGTGCCTCGCCGCGGGCCAGCCGCGCCCTGCGAAGCGTGCCCCCGCATGCCGTCACCGCCTACGAGCTCACGACGCTGCCATCTGGGCACCCTGCAGCGTTGCCTAGGGGCCTCGGCGGATCGCCGAAGCGACGCGGAGTCGCGCGACATGCCCTCGGAGGCCTGGGCTTGACTTCGCCTGGGCGGATGCGTTGCCCCTCCTGCGCGAGCGTTCCCCGCACTTCGCAGACATGTGTGTGCGTTTACTCACAGACGGAAGGGGGCACG